TGCAGACTAATTACATTTCTCCACCTTGAGAAAAAAGAGGATCTTGAATTATCTGTCCTGGGAAATCTTGACACAACATAGCATTTCCCATCAACTAATCATCAATATCTAGCAGTGATATCTGCAAAACAAAAAGTTGCTAAAATTTAAGATGACCTAATCAAAAGCTAATATTTAAGAATAATATGAACGAGATGAAGAGAGATAATATCCCTTGAGCAGCTTTTGGAATGATCCAATATGGTAGCAACTCAATTTACGTTTAGAGCCACAAATCATTTTCATTAAGTTATTGGAAATAGTGACTTCTTTTATAACAGTCAAATCAATGTTAATTGTCTGTGCTGTTATCTATCAGGTTTCCAAATGAAGTGCATGCAGTTGTCGTGCATGCTAGACAGCAAACGTAGCACCACATTATAAGTGGAATTTGTCAATCATCATTCAGGACTGCCTTCATTAAGGTTCTTAATGATAAGTTTGAGTTGTATAATTCAAAGGACTTAATCGGATGTTAAACATTGATTGCAAGATGGTAGTGGTACTGTGTTTAATTGAATGTTAAGCAACAGTGAGTTGTACCATGTATAAACTAATAAGCTTGTACAATCCAAGAAACAGCTAGAAGGTGCACAAATCACACTTAAACAAATTATAACAACTGACACTTTGGATACTTTTTTATAGAAGTCGTGTTTTTGTCATACTCTTTGACTTACAGACAGTACCCTAACTTTAAGATAATTTCCAAAAAAATGAATCCCTCTCAATTTTTGGATGGAAAAAGTCAAGTACTTTACACATGACACATTTGTCAGCCTTTTGACAGTTCGTAGTCCATTTTCATGATTTCATCTATGAATAATTTTTGGAGGAAATAAAATCATCAATTGACTCCAAAATCTGTTGGTTACCTCTAACATGCATACAAATTACCAGCTTACTTTCATTACTACATTAAGATGATTTAAAACTACATGTATATAAGAGGTAATGGGTAGATTTTGGAGCTAATTACAGGATCTTATCACCTCTAGAATATATTTATAGATAAAACAGATTTTGAACCCTCAAAATATCTGAAAAAATTATGCTTAAGGCACATGGCTTCTAGCTGACACAAAATTTACATTGTTAAAGGGAGGTAATGTTTTTGTGGATCATTTTTAAGCAGAGCATTATATGCTTATAGAAAAGTATAAGAAAGAATACAGGATCCTAATAAATTAGGTACCAAAAGTGCAATCGGATCAACAAATGACGTAAACCTCTACTGGAGTTAAGGGGCTGAAACAGAGGAGAAGTCAGGGATCTCTTATTGAGACTCACATTTAAAAGGCTCATCTAGAAAGAATTGTGCAAGAGGAAACTAGGTAGGTTCTGGAAATGGAAAGAGTATAAATTGGCAGAAGAACCGCAAACGTAGATATCACCACATCATTTTCGACCAATAGGGAGCTCTGACAAAGATAAAGTACAAACCTGATATATGCCACTGCTAGCAGCCAGTCTCCCCATCTAAGGCCAAGTTCATAGGAAATGTACTAGAGAGGATAGCGATTCATGCTGAAAAAAGATGTTTACTGAAAATCTAGAGTCAAAAACTTTTTCTTCAGTGGATAAAGCTGAACATGATACTAGTAAGAAACAGCTATGTGGATCTAAGCCATGCTATAGTTGAGAATCTAATATAGTGGATCGAAGGATCTCTAACCAACAGGTAATCAAGTTTGACGAGAGGTAACTCCATAGCAGGCTCATCTTAAAACAACTGTAAAAACTGGCAACTTAAGGTAGCTGGTTACCCTTAGAAGGTATCAAGAATACATCTATGCTCCCTTTGGATCAACTAAAGCTCCACAAGACAGGGGAAAATTTGAAATCTGCTATTTCAATTTCAAGCTACAATTATCCTTATAAAGAAAATGGTAAGTTAGAGCGAAGCAAAACCATTAATATCTTCTAGCAAATATGAGATCTGCACTGGTGAAGGCGCATGTTTACTTCTATAAATGTAACATGTTTACTCGAAATCTGCATAGGTGAACAGCAAGCTTTGAACTACCATTATTTGGACATAACTTAGCTTCTCAGTGACAAGCAAGGAGATTTTAATTATGACACTTTATTGGTACTTTCATTAATTAAGTGCCAAAACCAAATTTCATACTAAATTACTTTAGATCTATCACTTGCAATAATATTTCAAATTCCAGCCATTAAAACAATCTATAATCTCATTTTCATACAGACTGAAAGGTTACCCGGAGTAGAGTCTCATCTTGAAACAGGCTTCTGAAGAAGAGCTGTCAAATAAACCTCCCCATTCTTCACACCACTAGCATCATTCTTATTTGCTACAGCCCACTTCACCTTCCTGTAGTTCAATTTCCAAATCAGGGGTTGGAAAACCTTCTCAAGATCCGCCTTTTTACTAAAGAAATGGTCCAACCATAAATACCCACCACCCCTCAACACTCTATCAACATCAAAGAACAAGAACTCCATCATTGTTAATGGAATCCACCTATTCACAGCATGGCCACATCTCACAAGATCCACAACCCCATCAAACACAGGCAGCCTCTGCTGCAAAGGCACATGTAATGGCAACAATCCCCTAAGCGCCACAGTCTCACTATAAGGGGCACCCAAATTCATAGTTGTGGTCACAACAGTAACATTTTGCAGCTTCATTTGTGCTGCAAAAGTTCCTGTACCACCACCAATATCAAGTGCCAGCCTAATCACACTTTTTGAGGACTTAGTAAGCTGGAGAAACTGTGGAATTGGGAGATCCAGATCTGATTTATAACCCAAGAATCTTGATCCCTCAACTTTCATATCAAATCCCAAGTTGGGATTTTTCTGGGACAGACAAGTAAAGCTTTTGCAAGTGTAACTGTTCCACAACAAGGCCTTTTCAGGGAGTGTAGAAAATGGGGTTTTAGGAAGTGAAGTGGGAATACTAGAAGGGGTTCTTGAAAAACATCTTCTCCTAGGAAGAGGGTGGCAACCTCTGAGGATAAGGGACTCAGCTACTGAAGAATCTGAGGGGCAAAGACTAAAGGGTGTGTAGTTCATGTACTGGTAAAGCAAATCAGGATGGTCTTTACAAGAAGAAGCTATAGGTGAAAGATGGGTGTAAAGGAGGAGGTCAGAAGGGATGGAGAGTGTAGATTTCTTGGCAGCAGCAGCTGGAGGAGCAGGAGGCTGGAGGCGCGTGAGGTGGTTAATGGTGGCGCGTATGGTTTGAAGCTGGTGAAGAAGGTGGTCAGGAACAGGAGGAGCAACAGGGGGCTTCGATTGGAGATTGGAAGAGAGATGATACAAAGAAAGAATGTTGGTAGCTACCATTGCTACTAACAGAAGCAAGTTTAGACCCATTGTGAACCCCATCTTTTTGCTCCCTGCAAAAATTTTCTTGGCTGCTGATGCACTATAAAGAGTGTACAAAAGCTTAAAAAAGCAGAAAGTTTTGTGCTTTACTACTATTACAACCGACCCAGAGAGGTTAACATTAAATGAAGGATTTGTTTCTAGATCTATGAACAAAGACAGGTTCTCTGGTGTCTGAATTTGCGGGTATTTTTTCTTTTAATAATATGTGAATGTTTTGTTTGATCTGAGATGTGAGTGGGCAGTTGGGATGTAGAGTGTGGACTTGCATTTCTGAGTCAATTTGTTTACTTGGTTTTACTTCTTTTTTGTTAGTATAGTATTTTACTGTTCATATGGTCTGTGAATCTTGGTGCCTTTATTATAAAATGCTAAGTGGAGTTCTTGAAGGCACGTGAACATGGGATTCCTTTGATTTCTACTCCACATTATTGCTTGCGTCTTTCCATTTTAGTTTGTTGGGACTATTTTCTAGAGTGAACACCTACTGTTTCATCGAGTGATTTTATGGTGTGCGCCAAAAATTGACATTAATTGTGTGAGACCTCTTTTTATCGGAAAAAATTAAAAGATAGCCAGATTTATAAGTGATCATTCAAAAATAAACACAGTTTCAAAAGTAATCGAAATTTAGTCGCTTTTCATATAAAGATAAATTTGAACGAAAACACTGTTCAAGATCCGGAAAAATACTCTAGTATCCAGTATAATATACTGAAAACTCTAGTATATTATACCGGAGTTTCAGTATATTATAGTGTAACTTTTCGCGAGTTGGAGTTCCTGCATAATATACTGGAAGTTCATACACATGTGCACCGATCTCCAGTATATTATGCTGGAACTTTCTGTGTTGCAGCAAAATAGTGGTTATTTTTCAATGACTTTGCAAATGCTGGCTATTTTTGAATAAACTAGCTAGCCTGTGTTATTTTAACTTTTTTATCTCACACATTTGTGGACGTATATCATATATATTTGGGTCCACAAAATTCTGAATCCACAAAGTTGTGAGACAAAAATGAAGCCTCACGCAACTAGTATATGAGGCACAAAATAAAAATTTTCCTGTTTCATGTAACTTTGTTAGGGATCATCTGGTGTCAAACCAAATTATACATGAGCTATAATCCCAAAAGGATGATACAGTGAAGAATAATCATTAAATTATTTCATATATAGTTTAACTTCTATAGATTGATAATATAAAAAGTTTTAATACATAGTACAATTTTTTTTTAAATAATTCAATTTAAATTGAATCGATAACTTTAAAAACAAGACAAGTAACGTGTTATACGAAATTCAGTTTCATTGATAATAGACAAAATACAAGTACAAAAAGTTAAATTTATTGCTAATTCTTTGTTTTTTTTTCTTGAATTTTTTTAAGCACAATATTTTAGTAATCAAATTCAATTTGAGTTCTAATTAAACAACTACGTTAGTATATCATTCAATCTCATTTGATTTCAGATATCAATTTAAGCTATTAGTTTTTATTTTTCGTTAATAAATTACAGTTTATTATGAATTAAGTTTTTATTAAAAGCATTAGTATGAGTGAAAGAAAAATTTAAAGATTGAGCGAAAGAAAAATAATTTGGTTCGGTTGGGTACAGCTTGGTTGCCCTACTGTTATAAACGAACCGGATACGCATATATGTGTCCCTCTTCTTCTCTTCCAATATTCCTGCAATTCACATTCGCTTGCTCAAATTCATTACTAAAAGATGGTAATCTCACATACCCCTGCTTGTTTCTCTACGTTTTCTTCATGCTCTAAACACAATTTCGGATGAATGAATATTAGCGTTTTAATCTCGAAGACTATTTATTCTGCCTAGGGCTCTCGCAGATCCAAAAATGGTTACTTCTCTTTGTTTCTCTTTCTGGGTTTATGTCAAATCCTGGTTTCTCTTCTATATTAAGTTATGAATTTTCTGGTATTTAATTGAATTTTGATGACTTTTTACCTTTTCTTTGCCATCTGAAATTTGCTAATTTTATCTGGACAAAGGGAATAAGGGACAGTTAGAGCTGCGGTTGTATGAATCTCGGTGGAAACAGTGCCTTAGTGTATTTTGGGAGTAAAGTTGGGGAAAAGATTGCATTTTTCTTTGGAATTTTTCCTTTTTCGGTTTTGGCTATAATGCATTAAGGAATTTGTTTATTGACTTTAAAATTAGTTTACCAATTCTAGTGAAACTTATTTTAGTTGGACTATTGTTGGAATCAGTGGTTAATTTTGAAGCTTGAAAATGTCTGATCTTCTTTGTTGCAATTTTTGTAGGCTGACCCAGAATTAGAAGCTATCAGGCAAAGGAGAATGCAGGAGCTCATGGCTCAACAGAGCATGGTAAATAATAGTCTCTTTGTATCTATGCTTTCTGTTATTTGGGTTTGAGCCATACCTTGTCAAGATTTGAACCTTACAATATCTTCACTAACTGTAAACTTGGGCAAATAGGGAAGTCAGCAAAACCCTGACCAGCAGAAAGCCCAGGATGAAGCTAAAAGGTTCATTTTTTGTAGCTGGTTTCTTTAATATGTGGTTCATTGTTAGTATTATATTAGCTTTTGCTTTCAATGTTTGATATCAACTATAGAAGCGATTGATGTAGGGAGGCTGATGAGCGAAGGCAAATGATGCTTACTCAGATTCTGACTTCTGAAGCAAGGGCTAGAGGTAGGTGCATTTTACGAATTCTTCTCCAAATTTGATGACTTAGCCTTTATGAATTAAGTTCTCCATTTTTTTGGGTGTAATTTTGTGTTTATATTCAAATTTGTGTACATTGGTTCTTAATATGTTGGATAGAGTATCTAGTTTGTCAAAACTAAGTTTCATCGCTTTGGAATCCTAAATTTGTTACATGGTAGGAGTTTATACTTCAGAAGCATCTTAAAATCTTTGAAGGTAATTACACTATTTTTGTTATGAAATATAGCTCAAAGTAACAATATAGAACAAGGAAAAACAAGTTAAGAGATAAGATACATGGGAGAGATTCTTATTTCTTCTTCAATTGTGTTATTTTTTTTATCTATTACAATGCCTTTATATAGGCATGAAAAGTGAAGAATCACTATTGTAAAATAGTGAGTGGAATGGCCACAATTGAGAGAAATGACCACTATTGAGTGGAATGATCACTATACAAATATGTCATTGAATATGTCACTAAGCATTTGAGAGGAAGATCATGGATCATGGGGGAGGTTATGGAGATAATGGAGAAAGTAGACATCCACTATAATTTAATTTTTCTTATAACACTCCCCCTTGGATGTCCATAAGATAATGTGCCTCGTTAAAACATTATTAGAAAAAAAACCTTATAAAAAAAATCCTAGTGAAGGAAAAAGAGTACACATGTTTAGAAATACGCCTTTTGGTTGCCTCATTAAAAACCTTGCAAGGAAAACCCAGTGGGACAAAACCTTGTAAGGAAAAAAGAGTATACCGCGTATTAACTCCCCCTGATGAGAGCATCAATGCACATCATTGAGCCTTCACATCCCAATCTTGTACACTAGTTTCTTGAAGGTTGACGTCGGTAGAGATTTGGTGAACAAATCAGCCATATTATCACTTGAACAGATCTGTTGCACATTGATATCACCATTCTTTTGAAGGTCATGTGTGAAAAATAACTTTGGTGAAATGTGCTCTGTCCTATCTCCTTTTTATGAATCAAGCTATGCATGCTGCATTGTCTTCATACAAAATCGTGAGTAGTTTGTCACACTTCAAACCACATTTGTCTCGAATAAGACGTATTATAGACCTCAACCATACACATTCTTGACTTGCTTAATGAGTAGCAATTATTTTAGCATGATTAGATGAAGTAGCCACGATTGATTGCTTAGTCGATCGCCAAGATATGACAGTTCCTCCACATGTAAACACAGCATGCTTGAGATCGAGCCTTGTGTGGGTCAGAAAAATATCCAACATCGGCATAACCAACAAGATCGGGACCGCAATCATTGCTAAAATAAGCCCATATCGGTAGTCATTTTTAGATACCGCAATATGTGTTTGATTCCAATGTCTCCTTATAGGAGCAGAGCTATATCTTGCTAAGACATTAACTGAAAAAGTTATGTCAGGCCTTAAAGTGTTAGCAAGATACATTAGTGCACCAATTGTACTAAGATATGGTACTTCAGGACCAAGAAGCTCTTTATTCTTTTCTTGAGGTCGGAACGGGTCCTTATTCACATCAAGTGATCGAACAATCATCGGAGTACTTAATGGATGTGCTCTATCATGTAAAACCGTTTCAATACCTTTTCTATGTAGGCAGATTGATAAACAAAAGTCCTATTTGCCAAATGTTTAATTTGCAAACCAAGACATAATTTTGTCTTTCCGAGATTTTTCATCTCGAATTCCTTCTTTAAATAATCAATTGCCTTTTGGAGTTCTGTAGGAGTTCCAATAAGGTTTGTGTCATCAACATATACTGCAAGTACAACAAACTCTGATGTTGTTTTCTTTATAGAAACACATGGATATAACCTTCCTTTAACAAATACTCACTAAGGCGGTTATACCACATTCTTCCTGATTGCTTTAGACCATACAAAGATCTTTGCAATTTGATTGAAAACATTATCCGGGACTTTGAATTATGTGCGTCAGGCATTTTAATCCCTCGGGAATTTTCATGTATATCTCATTATCAAGTGAGCTGTAAAGGTAGGCTGTAACCACATCTATTAAATGCATGTCAAACTTTTTATGGCAGCAAAACTAATGAGATAACGGAATGTTATAGCATCCATAACAGGAGATTACGAACCCGTTTGGATTGGCTTAAAAAAATGGCTTTTAAGCACGTGCTTAAAAGCAACTTTTAAGTGTTGGAGCTTATTTTATAAATAAACAGTTACCCGTTTGGATAAAAGTGCTGAAGCTTAAAAAAAGCTGTTGAAGTGTTTGGCAAACAAGTGCGGGTAAGCACTTTTTCCTATTAAAGAGACAAAAATATCCTTAAAGCTGTTAACATTATAAAGGAGCTGATTACTACAATATATTTCATTATGAATTGATGCAAATAAAAAATAATTTATATTTTAACTGAATTTCAATTTAATTGATTACTTTAGATAATTTTTATAAATATAATTCTTGAATGCTCATTTTTCACCACTTTCAATCAAGTAAACTTTCATAAAATCTCAACCTATTTAAAATACCAAGTCGCTAAAGTTCAAACTCTCCATTTAACTGAAATGGAAACATAAAGTTAACTAACTGGGTAGGAATCATGAAATGTAGCTACTAATCTGATGTTGTTAATCCTCAAAACCATAACTGAAGCACTCATGCAAGACAAGTAGCTAAGTTTTCATCAACTTCTTTTGTCAACCAGTGGTATATATAAATAACAAAAACAAAAAAGAGAGAAGACGAGAGGAAATATAATTAGTATTTCTGAAGACGTTAAAGTAGTATATGAAACAGAAAAGCTTTAATTAGTATTTCAAAATGAAGATGTAGCAGAGATGAAGAGGATTTGAGGAACGACAGTCTTCAAAGTGAAGGAAATAGGAGAAGTACAATGTTTTAGTAGGTTTTATTTGACCGAGGATAATTTTGGTATTATAAAAACTTATTAGGGACAAGAGAGTAATTTTATTGGTCAAACTAAAATGGCTTTTAAGCCAAAATGAAAAAGTTGGGGTCATCCAACTTGTTGCTTTTGGCTTTTTTTAAGCATTTTTTAAGCAGTTTTTTTGTTTGCCAAACACTCCAAAAATTTAAAAAGTGCTTAAAAGCTAGTTTGACCAGCTTTTAAGCCCATCCAAACACTCTCTACGTCTCTTCATAATCGGCACCGGGCTTTTGTGAAAATCCTTGTGCAACAAGGCGTGCCTTATATCTTTGTACCTCATATTTCTCATTCCTTTTACGTACAAAGACCCATTTATAGCCAACAGGCTTAACACCATTAGGTGTTTTGACTACAAACCTAAAAACTTCACGTTTCACAAGTGAATCCAACTCAGATTGGATTGCTTCTTGCCATTTTGGCCAATCACGTCTTTGTCAGCATTCTCCAACAGATTGAGGTCCAAGATCCTCATTATCTTGCATAATGCTAGATGCAACATTGTATGCAAAGACATAATCCACCACTATATTCAATCGGTTCAAATCTGTCTCAATATCGATTGGGTTTATTGATAGTTCCTTATTTTCTTGAGTCTCAGGCTCATTGATTTCCTCATGAATCTCGGGATTGGTTAAATCATGGGTTTCTTTATAAGACTCATTCGTAGTGTCATTTTGATCATTATCTATGCCATGCTTTAGGCGTGCTTTAGGCGTGCTTTTGACTAGTCTGCCATGCTTTAGGCGTGCTTTTGATTCATTAGCTATGACACTAGAAGATTGTCCAACAGGAACATCAATACGGATTGGAACATTCTCTGTAAGGATATGTGATTTCGTTTTCCTTTTCAGATCTATAAATGCATCTGGCATTTGATTTGCTATTTTCTGCAAATGGATAATCTTTTGCACCTCTTTTTTACAAATAGAGGCACGTGGATCAAGATGAGATAATGATGGATTTTTTCACAAAATTTCCCATTTGGTTTCACCCATTTCTCCCCCTAATTTTGGAAAAAATGACTCATTAGCTTATAACAATGGCCACTATTGGAAAAAATGGCCACTATTTAGTCGAATGACCACTATTGAGAGAAATGGCCACTATTGAGTAGAATGGTCACTACATAAATATGTCATTAAGCATTTGAGAGGAAGATCATGGGGGAGATAATGGAGAAGAGTAGACATC